AAAATTCATTTGATACATCATAAATAAACATTGAAGTGCAGTTTCCCTTCTAGCATGGCACATGTGATGTTTAGGATGTGGGAAGAAGGAAAGGTAATTAGGGTAAAAAAAAATAAAGCAATACTATCTCAAGAAACTCTAGGCAGTAGGCTTCTGGAGCCCTTTAACCATTTACCATGACCTGCCAAGTCTATGCCATATAGGATATTTTTTTCTCATTTTTCTGGGACACAGATTTAGGCAGTATTCCTTGAGGTTTCTGGGTGTGAGCGAGTCACTGTTGGTGGATCTCCCAGATAACCAGTGCCTGAATCTAACCTTCATCTTTGCTCTCTATTGAATAAATGGTAACTCTCATCAATGGCTAAACCGAACTTCTGGTATTTTAATTTTAACTTAGTGTGTTTTAAGGGAGGCAGTATAGCACAGCTTTTAAAAGCAGACTCTTAGGCCAAACTGCCTAAGTTCAAGTCCCATCTCCAATACTTATAAGCTGTGTGACTTGGCCAAGATATGTTTAACTTCTCCTCAGTTTCCTCATCTGCAAAATAAAGATAATAACAATTCTAAATTCAGAGGGTGATTATACTGATAGTGTGTGAACGGAAACTAACATGTAGAAAATGATAAATGTGTTAAATAGTGTTATGGAAGAAATGTACAGCATCATTGTTTTCATCTATTAAGTGAACTGTGATCTCATGGGACTTATTCAAAATAAATATAAGCACCAAAGGAAAAGAAGATTAAGGTAGGCCTGGGGCTGTGGCTCAGTGGTAGAATGCTTGCCTAGAACAGGTGAGGTGAAGATTAAGGTAAAATTTTTGGTTAAAAAGGAGAATAATATTGTTATCAAAGATTTAAGAGTTAACAAATGCAGACAATGTAATTGAGCTTTCTGTTTCATTTTCAATCAGTAGCAGAAGTTACCAAATCATTTTGTTTATCCTCTGTTGCCAAAAAGACAAAATAAATATATGAAACCATTTGGTGTTTTTTGGTTCTTAAATCTGAACCCCAGTAAATTGGTCATCTGCACCATCTTCTAATTGCTTATGCTTAGTCAAAAGAAAGAAGGGAGGAATCGAAAGCCAGAAATGGGAAGAGAGTCAAGGATGGTACATGTCAGAAATAGCAAATAGGTTTATGTTAAACCAAGAAATTACATTTCAGAGGTGTCCCTTTCACTCACCTAATTGAAATACCCATGGTGTCTCCATCTTTGGATTATTGCAGGGTTTCCATTACACTTTCTAACTCTTAATTTTTTAAATTACTTTTTAGTTTTAAATTATCACAGATAAAATTGTATACATTTACTGTATGCCGCAGGATTTTGTGCAATATGTATGCAGTGAGGCCTGGCTAAACAAACATGCATCACCTAATACAGTTGTCACTGGGCCAGCCCTCCACCTCAGACCTCCATCTGCCCTCCTTTTTAGGAGATAGATTATTATTTTATAACCTCAGTTCATTAAAAATTTCTGGCCTCTGGTTTCTTTAAATATTTTCAAATATTTCAATCTCCCTTCTTCCTCCTCTGGGCATCTTTCTCTGTAGGATCCAACTGCATGATTTAAGGCACAGTTTGTTGACAAGAAATCCTGGGACCCTATTATGAAAATGAAGGCAGCAAACAACCTTTGAATGTATTTCCCAATTTAAAAAAGCTTTCATTACACAGCACATTTCAGGCAGAGAATGTTAAAAATTTATCATGGTTTCAGTAATTATGGCTTCCTCTGGAAGCTTGGCATGCTATGGAATCATTTGTAAAATGTGGATTTTGTTTGGCACTCAGTAGGAAGCTTGCCAAGCAATACATTTAATTAAAAATGTGGGAAAGGGAATGATTGTGGTCTGTCATAGTGTATGATCATTGCTTTTAATTTCTATCCCTTATCGTTATTTTTATGATAGAGGGCTCATAACAAAATTTGTGTTTAAAGTTAGAGGTGATTTCTCTTTTATCAGCTTAGTGTTTTTATACAGGAAATATATTATTTTGAGGGATAGGGTACATTAGCTGCATTCCTTAGATCTAAGTCTTTGTCTATGGTGTAAGCTACGAGAGCTTTAGCTGCTCTCCTTAGTAACAACCTTTGTCCATTGTTTAAGACCTTGAAAATTGATGCATTGCCTTTTGGGAGCTTAGACAGCTTTATTTAAGTTTAACTTTCTCCAGAGATGCATAGAAATAATGAAATGCAATGCCTTTCTTGAACATAACCCTGCACATAACTTCTAGTCCTCCCTGATGCGTAAAGTAAATTTGATAAGAGCAACTCCAATATCGTAATGATTAATGTTGACTTTTTAAAAAAAATTTCAAAGCAACCTATATCAGCAGATTCAGAGAAGTGTGATGCTAACCATCTCTAAGGCCAGATTCTCATTGTGTTACATACACTCTTCTATTTTCACAAGGAAACTTGTCTGTAATCTCTTTGAGAGGCACTACAGAAAGGATGCAAACGTAATGGAAGGGGACCTTTCTGGCACAAGCTTTTTGGGTGTTCAGGTTTTCAGGTGCAGAATTCTCTGACCACTCAGCTGCATGAATCTCCTCTTTTATCACTACATAGCTCTACCCTTCTTAGTGAACAAAGATATTCCTTTAATAACAGATAGGTCAGATTTAACATTAAGGTGTCAGTCCAAGGTGTAAATAACACATAGACAAAGATTATTTTCACTCCCCTTCTCTTGTAACTCCACTGTATTTTGAATTCATAAAATCTTTTTCTAATTCTGACCAGGTTATTGTTCTCTTCCACCTTCCTTATTATCCCTCCTTCCCCTAAAGCATTGAGACCATTGCTTAAATGAACCATTCTTCCAGGGTCCCCTTCTCTGCTAGGGGAAAATAACAGAAAACTAGTAAGCAAATCTTTGAAAGTTCATGTAATAACAACAAGGAGGTTAGGAAATAGGGAAAAAAGTAGTTTTAATTGGAAGCAACAGCTTCATTAATTCTGATAACCGTTCATCTTTTTTTCTGGGAAGAGCAAATAGAACAAAAAAATCTCATTTTCATCTTCCAGTCTAGTTGCACATACCTCACATCTTTGAAGAGTGGAGATCCAAGTAAAATGATCTAGATATGAAGGTATCTGACTGCCCTTTCACAGTAATTTGCCAAAGCCACGTACCGATTTTCCTCTGCAGAAATGCAGCTCTCATATCAAAATGGTCAATCACTGAAGAAACAAATAGAAAGTTGCTCCAAAATGTAGTAAGTGCCCTTTTTCCCTCTTTCCCTGCCTGCAAAATCCTGAAAACAATCCAGCCTGTATTCCAGGGCATTTTGAACCAAAATTGTCTTCAAGTAAGAATAGCTGTAACTTATATATGTGAATACTTGCTTTGTTTAAAGCAACAACATTCAGAGCACTGTATAGAAATAAACTCATATCGTCCTTAGAATGTCCATATGTGGTCGGTGCTACTGTTATCACTGAAGAAACTGAGGCACAGAGGAATTATTGATCTTCCTTGATTTATACATAGTAGGAAGTAGTCTGTTTTGGGAAACAGTTCAAGATAATATGAATCCAGATTTATTCAACTACTATGATATATTTATTTTTTCTTATACTTTAGAAAGAAGAGATTGATTAAAAGCAAGAGACTTGATTAAAGAAGATTAGACAGAGACAACAATATCCCATGTGCCTTGCACAGTAGCATATGCCTGTAATCCCAGGGGCTCAGGAGGTTGAGGCAGGAGGACTGTGAGATAAAAACCAGCCTCAGCAACTTAGCAAGGCCCTAAGCAACTCAGTGAGACCCTGTCTCTAAATAAAATACAAAGAAAGGGTTGGAAATGTGGCTCAGTTGTTAAGTGCCCCTGTACAAAAATCAAACCAAAACAAAACATGTAAGGAAGAATACATACATGGTGTTCTTACAGGTACCATTGATTTTCTGGGGCATTCTGAAGTTAGACTCCCTATTATATTTTTTATAATTTAATTCCTACCCCCTGCATTTTTTTTAATGCTCACATCATAGGTATTAAAATGACAAAACTGTGAGGTAGGCAAAACAAGATCAAATACATGTCAAAATCTTATAAAGACAACTGGGCCACCTGGATGGTTCTCTTGACTAGCACACACTGTGTACATGGGTGGGCAACTGTGTGACAGCTAATTTTATAACATATATTTCTTCAAAACAAGGCTGGATCATTATTTAAGATGAACAGAGGGTACCTCTTTTAAGTACTTCTGTTGAATTGTTCTCAGGCCTAAATTCATTTTTGTCTGGGAGAAAATTTCCACTCATTGCAGCAATGCTATCAGCATTTTCCTTTGAAGTGATGCTACAGTAAGTGGATTTACTTAGGTAAAGCTTAGGATATCTTCTCTTTAAAGATGGAAGGACAACTGCAGGGTCAACTGGGGGAAGAATTTGATTTACGCTCCTGTGTTAAATGTCCCAGATTATACATTTGTCAGGCTTGGACTTTCTGTGTTTGAAGTAATATGGAAAAAAGATAATATGATAAAAACCTAATACCAATAACTAAAAAAAAACTGTAAAATAAGGATGAAAATGAAAAAAATTAGAAGTAACCTTGTTGATAAAATACAGTTTTAAATGTATAAATGTATATAATGTATAATTTTTGTTGCTAGAATCAGGAAAATACCTTTGTCTTTAGGCATCTCAGAGATATACAAGAGCATCTCTAAGCTGCTATCTACTATAATAAACACCTGGAAATGAAGATGCAATGAAATCCATCTTCTCTGTAGCATTTTCTGAATCTTAACACAATAAAGCTTTTTTTTTTTTTTTTTAGAAAAAATTAAATGTGAGACTTTAATCTGATTGGTACCTACCCAAGACCAAAGTATGTAAAACTAATTGCCAATACACTGGGATGCAAATCTTTTATATAAGCAAATATAGATGTTTATCTATCAATATAAATATAGATCCATTGTTTTATGAACCACTCAAACTAACAAGCATTCTTTTATTTTCAGAGGCAAAGGCCCACTAAAACATACAACTGAGGTGATATATGCAGCTAAAATGATATCAGAATCAGGATCAAGGATGGATGTCCTCGCTCGGCAGATTGCTAACCAGGTGAATTATTTACAAATGGAAATTGTGAAATCCATGCTCATTGCTCCTTGCCATTCAAACATTAATTAGAGCAAAGATGGATTTTTATTCTATTGTATATTTTCCTTAAATTGTATCTGGGTTATTTTTCATTTTATAACATTATTAATATACAACTTATTAACATTAATATACAAGTATCAATAATGTTATCAAGAATTAATAATTTATAAAGTGGACAATTAATTCTAAGGAAGCTTAACTTCTTTTAGGGGAGATTTCTTTTCACTTTAAATGTTTTCAAATGATTTTTTGAATCAGCTTTTTCATTTCAAAAATACTGTTAATTTTAATTGGCAGTTAATAACCACACAGTGTTTTTTCCTTGACAATTTAGATTGCTTATTTTTGCTTTCCAAAAATGAAGACATTTAAAAATTTTACTATGTTAAGTTTCCTGGGTTAACAATATATTATAACATTATATGTAAAACTAAAAGACAAATACTAATTATTGAATACTAAAGTGAAAATATATAACAAAGAAAGTATATCATTCTTATGGAGACTGGTGTTTCGAAACACTTTGATTTCCTTTCATTAGATGTCTCATGGCTCTTTTTCAGTTTTCTAAGTAGCAGCTACTTCATTTAAGTTACCTTCTGAATAACTTTAATTGGAAAATCTGTCAGTTCCATTCGTTAATTTATTGAGATATTCAATTAATATTTAGACTGGTGTATAACATTACTTTGAAGCCTATATATTTAATTCAGCTTCATAATAAATATTAATTTCTCCTCAGAAAAACACTTCTCTTTTTGGCTTTGCACTTATTCCATATTATTTCATATAATTCCATATTCCTTATTATTTGTATATATAATATATGAAAAACAAAAACTGATAATAGCAGAGAAAATATTTTTTAAAGTCCTTGAATCATACATATCATTTATTATCTTGGCTTCAAGAATTATACAAATTTTATTATTCTCATGTTTTAGTACAAATTGAGCATCCTTAAAAATCCAAAAGTAGATTTGATACTTTAATAAGTTTTGGATTTTAGGGCATTTTGTTTTCAGATTTTGAGATTATGCACATTCAACCAATATTCCAAAATTTAAAAAAAACTATATAAATAAGTCTCCAAAACTTGACACACTTCTAATCCCAAGTATTTCAGATGCCAAATATTCAGCCAGTATGTAGCACTTATAGTTGAAAGCAAGTTGTATTCTACTAAAGTCAAAATGTCTAAGACTGAATAAATGACTAAAGCCCACATATGCCCGTGACAGACTAAATATTGTTGGAATTGGTGAAACCTTACGGTTCATTACACAGACTTACATATACTAATAACTTTTAACACTCTAAATTCTTCCTATCCTTTTTCTTCTGTATATTTTGGAATACACAATTTTTGAAGTTCAAATACTTGTGTCACTTGGAAGTTTTTTTTTCTTATGTTGGTATTCTTTAATTTGACCAGACAACCTTACAGTGGGTACTTATATAACATAGCTTCATTAAATTATGCCATTGTTTTTAACATTATTCAGATTGTAAGAGAGGAAGCAAAGGTACTATTTTACTTCCATAAAGCTTTGACATTTTACACCAAGCTGAAGGAAATAGTCACTGACTAATGAAGAATTATGGGTGACTCTCTATGGCCTTTTCCATTTCATATGGTATAGTAGTTTCAAATGAATTACTTCTGTTCTGAACAAATAGGGTTCTGAAGAATCAAACTTGCTAATAAATAAACAGGTTATGTTTTCATAGTGGCCATCTTGGGAGATTGTCAATGAAAGTGTTCTGATTTTTTTTAAAGATTGACATATAAATTTTAGGCATTAAATAATAACTGATTTTGATTGTGGAAGACAATGATGAAAACAAGGCCATTTTCAGTGGATAATGCATATTATGAAAAAACTCTGCTGGGGCATTAGTTGCTTGCTACCTAGTTTGTTCAATCTAGTAGTTCAAAATTTTAAAGGATTTCTATGATGCTGTTTAGTCTGCTTTTTACTGGAGTATCAGATGGCTAAATTCTAAGTAATTTCCAATTCAATCTAGTATGAACTTGAAATACATAAATACATATTATATTATAGTATGATATATACATATATTATTAGATCAATAATAGTTTTATTTTGTATGACTTATAAAGCTCATATGCAGAGAGAATGAAATGGAATCTGATTATTTGAGGCTTCTAATTATGCTCCCTCTTTCTTCATTCTTCCCTCCTACCTTACTTCCTTGTGCATGTATTCATTGTGCATATACCAGGTATAATTCACTACTAAGGAATTACTGTCAGCTAACAAGAAAGAGAAAAAGTAAAATATTGTTTAATTAGTTGTGTAATTGTACATATTTATGTGGTACAGAGTAATAATTTAATACACATGTACAATATGTAGTGATCAAATCATAATAGTTAACATTTCCATTTCAACATTTATTTTTTTGGATTAACATACAATAATTGAACTAATTTATACATTTAATTTTTTATGATAAAAGGGTTTATTATAAACCCCCCCTATTTAAATACCCAGTACCCTCAGGACATTTATTTGTATCAATCACTATTATCTCTTAAACTTTCCCATGCTCCCAGATAGGCAGAATTAATATTGTCAAAATGGCCATACTTCCAAAAGCGTTATACAGATATAATACAATTCCTATTAAAATCCCAATGACATTCTTCATAAAATAGAAAAGGCAATCATGAAATTTATTTGAAAAAATAAGAGACCCAGAATAGCCAAAGCAATCCTTAGCAAGAAAAGTGAAGCAGGAGCATCACAATAGTGGACCTTAAACTATACTCCAGAGCAATAGTAACAAAAATGGCATGTAATTGGCACCAAAATAGGCGTGTAGATCAATGGTACAGAGTAGAGGACACAGAGACAAACACATAAATACAGTTATCTCATACTAGAAAAAGGTGCCAAAAACATTCATTGGAGAAAAGATATCGTATTCAACAAATGGTGCTGACAAAATTGGAAATTCATATGTAGCAAAATGAAATTAAATCCCTATCTCTCACGCTGCCAAAACTCAACTCAAAGCAGATCAAGAACCTAAAAGAATTATACTAGAGACTCTGTGCCTAATAGAGGAAAAACTAGTCCCAAATCTTCATCATGAACTTAGACCTGACTTTCTTAACAAGACTCCTAAAGCCTAAGAAGTAAAATCAAGAATCAATAAATGGGATGGATTCAAATTAAAAAGCTTCTTCTAAGCAAAGGACACAATCAATAACATGAGCAAAGAGCCTATAGATTGGGAGAAAATCTTTACCACATGCACTTCCAATAAAGCATTAATCTCTAGGCTATATAAAGAACTCAAAAAACTTAACACCAAAAAATAAATAACACAATCAGTAAGTGGGCTAAGGAACTAAACAGATACTTCACAAAAGAGGAAATACAATCCATCATCAAATATATGAAAATGTGTTCAACATCTCCGGCAATTAGAGAGTGCAAATCAAAACTACTCTAAGATTTCATCTCACTCCAGTCACAATGGCAATCATCAAGAATACAGGCAGCAATAAATATTGGCAAGAATGTGGGGGAAAAGCTACACTCATACATTGCTGGCGGGACTGCAAATTGGTACAACCACTATGGAAAGCAGTATGAAGACTCCTAAGAAAACTTGGAATGGAACCACCATTTGATCCAGTTATCCCACTCCTTGGTTTATACCCAAAGGACTAAAATAGCATACTATAGCAATGCAGCCACATTAATGTTTAGAGCAGCTCAATTCATAATTGCTAAACTATGGAATCAACCTAGGTGTCCTTTAATAGATAAATGGATAAAAAATGTGATACATATGTATATATATGTATATATATATATATATATATGTGTGTGTGTGTGTGTGTGTGTGTGTGTGTGTATAAGTTTTTCAGTGGGATATTACTCAGCTTTAAAGAAGAATGAAACTATGGCATTTGCCAGTAAATGGATGGATTTGGAGAATATAATGCTAATTGAACAAGGCCAATCCCCCCCAAAACCAAAGGCTGAATGTTTTCTCTAATATGCAGATGCTAATTCACAATAAGGGGAGCAGGGCACTAGAGAAGAATAGAGTTCCCCTAGATTAGGTAGAGGGGATGTGGGAATAGGAAGGATAGTAGAAGGAAACAGATATTATTACTGTATGTATATATATGACTGCATGACYAATGTGATTCTTCAACATGTACACTCAGAAAAATGAGAAATTATATCCCATCTATGTATGATACATCAAAGTGCATAAATGCATTCTACTGTTATGAAAAACTAATCAAAACAAATAAAAATTGTATTGAGATGGTGTGGTAGCTTAATAAGACATCTAAAACATGCTTTTCTAAGTCCTATAGAACCCATACAATTTTTTGTTTTTATTACACAATATAATCTTAAAGGACAACATGTTTTTAGCTATCAAAAAATTTAAACATTTCCCTTATAAACATACAGAATGACATTTTGGAGAAGTGGAAAAGATTCAGACCCCTGTCACAAATTTCTTTCTATTCCTGCACACTATAATGTAATTCTCCATTTTAGCAGATACTATTAATTTCATAAGATAGGGATTATACACAAAAAGAGTTCAATTAGTTACAGAAGCAATATACCCCCAAATAGGAAGGAGATGAATAGCAGCCAAAAGTAAACTTAGCATCTATTAAAGCATGTTGCACAAGAAGAGAACAAAATTAGACTTTCTGACCCTGTGTGGTATTTCTGAAGCCTAATTGCTTGTTATAATTTTTTTTAAAACAAAGATATGCAGGATGTTGACTGGGTCCTGCCACCTAATCATAAATGAACACAATTAAAATCAACTTTTAGTGATAAATGCATTGACGGTTAATGTTAATTCAAGTAAAGATGACATTTTAAAATAAAGAAGTATAAGTCAAATCACATTGCACTCAATCTGCATATATACTTTATATTGAT